CAGAAAAGATGTTAATATACCACTGGTCAGTGTAAGCGTGGATAGTGGCAAAATCAATCTCATTGATAAGATGATTACTGATGAAATCTGTTCCAACTTGATAACCAGGATTAACTTGCTTCCTTTCAGGAATCGAATCGCCATAAAATCCCTCCATTCCTACCTCCAACAAGTGTTTGTTGTCTAGTGACTTTACAAAACTTGCCATTTCTTGAACCCAAACCTAGAGTAATATCAGTAAAAAATCAAAATTTTACAGCAAAAAGTCAGTCATTGATATTTCTAAATAACTAATTTGGAAATGAAATAAGAATTTATTTCTTAAGACTCACATTAACAGTTTTTCCAGAATAGTCAGCTTGGTCACGTGGCTCATTAATGAGTTCCCATGCCATGATTGTTGGATCATCTCTGTAAGAAACTCTAGTAATGGTATTGAACCTTGTAACAACTTTCTGTAGCAATTTCACAAGAACATAAATTTTATTAATAATTAAGAATTAGATTGCATAAATATCAAACAATTGTAGTTTAAGTGAAAAAAATTCATGCATTGCTATCCATACCTTAATGTGGTTCTTATAATAATCTTTGAGTGTAGGATGAGTATAGAAATCATCGTCACTATTGATCTGAGCCCCTATATTTCGCGCCCACTGAACATATTGAGCTTTCCCTCCAAAGTCGTTCCAGTTGTTTACAAAGCTCAAGATTAAGCGAACACCATATTTTTTAGCTTCCGATATCACAAAATCCAAACCCTAAATCCAGAAAATACACAATAATAATTAATAATCCTAAATTAGAAACAATTACAAAAAGTATCTAATTAACTAATGACATATTTCATATTGTTTTAATAATTAAACCACAAAATATTTAATAATGGAATTTAAGTTATATACATAACACGATGCAAAGGACTTTTACATTATCATAACCTAAGTTAATAATAAATTATTACTCGATATATCGTCCAGGTTACCATATCAGACAATAAATATAAAACTACGTACATATGGTATGTTAACTTAACTTGGTAATGTAAAAATTCTTTATGCAGTCGTTGCACAGAACATAAACCTTTACCTGAAAAACACGTTCATCATAAACACCAGATGATACTTGTAATGCTCTGTCACCTCCATCACTGAAAGCCCACGTGCGACAAACAGAAAGACCAGCAGAGGCTGCATCTTTAAGAACCTCAGAGACTTTGTACCTCTCACTAGGTTCAGCAGCAACATGCATCAACCAATAAGAGTTGAAACCATTGAATAGAAAAGGTGATCCATTAAGTTCAAAATGAGCATCTTTAACTGTTATAAACCCTGCATTAGCATTTCTTGGAACCCTAGCTTCACATGCAAGAGCTAAGAACAAGATCAAGAGCCCAGAAATACAGCTAGTTTTTGTAAAATACATTTTGTAGTTTAAGTTCTATAGTGAATGGGAGAGATTTGATATGTTAGAGAGAGTCACCTATTGTGGGCTTTTATAATGAGTTGAAGATAAGGAAATTTACTAAAAATAGCAAATTTCCAAGAACTAAGAAGACTTTCCTAGTGGATGGAAACTGAAATTTGCAAGTTCACCAGAAAATATTTTATTTTTAAAGGTATCATGGGAGGTTGATAGAAGAGGAAGGAAGTTATTTGGTTAAAGCAGAAAGAGACAAATTATGGGGGGCAAAGAAAACAATAAAAGATAAGGAAAAAGAAAATGAAAAGGTGGTGTGATATGGGTGATATATTGCAATTTTCCATCCATTTGGTTAGTCTTTAAAGTTTGATCAGTACTAGATTTGATAATGAAAAATACATATAGAAACGTGTACTCAAGTAATTGCAGTTAGAAAAGATTGGTTAGATTTGCAACTAGCTATATTGAGTTATTTTATTTAGAAAAGGAAAATTTCCAGTTGGGAGTTCTTGTTGATATTTTTCTCTTCCATTTTTGCTAGACCCGTTGGTCAAAGGAAAGGGAAGTCCCTGCTTTTGGGACGGAGCCGTATGACGCGAGAATGTCACATACGATTTCTTTGAGAAGGGTGTGAGACCATCACCTATCAGGCCCGATGAACGGTCTACGGAGCTTATGAAAGCACTTTCACCTCTATTTTATGAAATACTGAAACTTAAAATCGAAGATGTTTTTAAATCAAATCAATAACTGTATGACATGTATTTATACATTAATTTCTTTTACTTAATCATGGTTATTAATTAATGTATATTTTCACCTCCTTAAATTGTGTAATCATGATGAACTTACGTGGAAGTTTTTACCATGCAGTAACGAATATTCATATCCATTTCCATCATTTGCACTTTCCTTCTTAATTTTGATAGGCACATTAAAGGGAAGTTCAATTGCAGTTAAGTTTGTCGTAACAGACTTCACTTATAAAATTACACTTGGTATATGTTATTGTCGTTGTTATTGCTGTTTAGTTATAGTATAGAATATGTTAGATTTGCCTTTGATGACTAAAAGAGCATATTAACCTATTAACAAGATCAGCTACTGGATGCAATCTTCCTTTTTTAGCAACATGAAATAGACTGTGACTGATTTTTTTTTTTTGTCTATCCGTTTTTGAATAGTGCATCATCCAAAGTGAAAGGATGAGATTACAGAAATTAGTCCATATTTCACATTACATACACAACTACACACTTATCCTAATTGCTTCAATTTATAGGCTCTGAGCCTAAGAATTTTCGAATGATCTGGAGAACTCGGCTTGATCACCACAATTGCTTCTGCATTTGATAACAACTTATTTCTCAAAAGATATCGAGCAGATGTACAGTCATGCAGAAAACAATTGATTTCTATTGCATGCGGCCTATAAAGTTCTGATAACACCAGTAGTGTAGCCGCATACATTGATGGTTGGTCAATAAAACGTCCTTCATCGAAAAATTTATATTGTGTATATAGGTCAAAAATTATTTTTTATGTGTAGGTTAAATTTTGGACATTTTTTGCGAAATTCCTGGCTTCGTCACTGAATAATATACATTATTTCCAAATGTCTAGAGTAAACTTCACAATCCAATATTGTGATCGTAGCAAAGAACGATAAGATCTTTGTAGAGAGTTAGAATAATGAGGACTAACTAGATGCAGATTGCATTATCATGTAGTCGCGTTGTTTGTTATTTACCTGACAAGAAGACATCCTTGTACTCTTCATCGTCGTAGACAAATTGTGGAGGATCCGGAGAGCCAACTCCTACTATTTTGGTCAGTCAAAAAACCGGCCAAAAATCAACCAAAGTTGGTCGGTTTTTTAAAATATTTTATTTTTAATTTATTTTTTACGAAACCGACCAACTTTGGCCGGTTTTCTTTGGCGCAAAAATGGGAAAACTATTTCTGAGTCCCGGAATTTTTTTTTTTCAAGAAACCGACCAACTTTGATCGGTTTTTTATTTAAAATAAATTAAAATTAATATTAAAAAAACCAACCAAAATCAATCGGTTAATTCGAGCTGTCATTTTAAAAAACCGATCGGATTCGGTTGGTATTTTTATTTTTTAATAAAACCGACCAACTTTGGTTGGTTATTTTCGAACGAAAATACAATTTAAGAGTACAAATGAAATAAAAAACAATCTTAAAATAAAATGAACCATTGCTCTAGTGGAAAAATAGTATCCTGCCATAGTACAGACCCCGGTTCGATTCCGAGATGGTGTATTTTTTAATTACATAATGAAAATACCGACCAACTTTGGCCGATTTTTCGGCAATTTTCTTTCATCTCAAAACTGAAAGGCCATTATATTGAAATTGTTGGTAAAGGTCTAATTCATGACGAAACTGGTTTGGTTACAATCTGGGTGAAATATCAATGTGCTGTATTTCAACCTTTCAAAGGTGAGAGTTTGGAAGCAATAGTTACCATGGTTGACAATATATAAGAAAATTTCTTGCATTTAAGAAAGTTATAATATTTTTCTTTACTATCTATATTCTTCATTCAATGTAGATAGGATTTTTCCCTGAAGCAAGGCATGTTCAGTTTCAGTCGTTGGTATTATCCTAAAGAAGCTAAGATCTTCATATGTTTTCACTTAGTGTGGTTCTCATCGGTTCACCTTCCTTATAGTTCAGTACGGTTTCAATTATCGCCAGTATTGCTTACCAGTCGCTGAATGAAGAAGTTTAAAGTTGCGACTGGACAACAATCCCATATACTTGAGGATTGCACAATTCATCTAAACTTGGATATTTATGTTAGTTCCCTCTGATTGAGGCGGATCAATTGGTTGGGGGCGTACCCTTGAGTAAGTTTTAAGATTCACGAAATTCATATTTATTGACTTCTGAGACTTGGCAGGGTAAGAATTTTTACTTCTATATCATGTGAGCATTGCCTCTCTTTGAGAGTAAACTATCTTAATTGTTGTTTAGGAGAGTGAGCTTTTAAGCATTTTCTTTTGGAAAGTTCTAAAATTTTATAAATTGAAATGTTAGGAGAGGAATGGTCGTTTGATATTTTCACGTTACAGTTTTAATACTCCAATATTAATGGTTATGTGTTGCAATTCCACGTTGCAGTTTGAATACTCCAGTATTAATGGTTATGTGTTGCAACTTATTAATTTTTTTTTTAAAACTTGTGTACTGCAGTATGAATTACGAAGCTCATTTTAGGGTGAAGAAGGTTTTGCATGTTGCTGCTTGAAGTTGCAAATAACTTCCTTCCTCTTCTATCAACCTCCCATGATACCTTTAAAAATAAAATATTTTCTGGTGAACTTGCAAATTTCAGTTTCCATCCACTAGGAAAGTCTTCTTAGTTCTTGGAAATTTGCTATTTTTAGTAAATTTCCTTATCTTCAACTCATTATAAAAGCCCACAATAGGTGACTCTCTCTAACATATCAAATCTCTCCCATTCACTATAGAACTTAAACTACAAAATGTATTTTACAAAAACTAGCTGTATTTCTGGGCTCTTGATCTTGTTCTTAGCTCTTGCATGTGAAGCTAGGGTTCCAAGAAATGCTAATGCAGGGTTTATAACAGTTAAAGATGCTCATTTTGAACTTAATGGATCACCTTTTCTATTCAATGGTTTCAACTCTTATTGGTTGATGCATGTTGCTGCTGAACCTAGTGAGAGGTACAAAGTCTCTGAGGTTCTTAAAGATGCAGCCTCTGCTGGTCTTTCTGTTTGTCGCACGTGGGCTTTCAGTGATGGAGGTGACAGAGCATTACAAGTATCATCTGGTGTTTATGATGAACGTGTTTTTCAGGTAAAGGTTTATGTTCTGTGCAACGACTGCATAAAGAATTTTTACATTACCAAGTTAAGTTAACATACAACAATATGTAATTTTATATTTGATATGGTAATTTGGAAGATATATAGGGTTATGCTAATGTAAAAAACCTTTATATGGTGACATGTATATAATTTAAATTCCATGACAAAATATTTTCTGGTTCAATTGTCAAAGCAATATGAAATATGCCATTAGTTAATTAGATACTTCTTTTAATTGTTTCTAATTAGGGTTATTATTGTGTATTTTTCTGGATTTAGGGTTTGGATTTTGTGATCTCGGAAGCTAAAAAATATGGTGTTCGCTTAATCTTGAGCTTTGTAAACAACTGGAATGACTTTGGAGGGAAAGCTCAATATGTTCAGTGAGCGCGAAAAGCAGGGGCTCAGATCAATAATGATGATGATTTCTACACTCATCCTACACTCAAAGATTATTATAAGAACCACATTAAGGTATGAATAGCAATGCATGAAACTTTTTTCACTTAAAGGGCAATATTTGTTTGATATTTATGCATTCTAATCTTCAATCCACCTAGTACCTTCATTATTAAGTAAAATTGATGAAGTTAGTTTGGTTAATTAATTTATGTTCTTGTGTTGAAATCTCTACAGAAAGTTGTTACAAGGTTCAATACCATTACTAGAGTTTCTTACAGAGATGATCCAACAATCATGGCATGGGAACTCATTAATGAGCCACGTGACCAAACTGACTATTCTGGAAAAACTGTTAATGTGAGTCTTAAGAAATAAATTCTTATTTCATTTCCAAATTAGTTATTTAGAAATATCAATGACTGACTTTTTGCTGTAAAATTTTGATTTTTTACTGATATTACTCTAGGTTTGGGTTCAAGAAATGGCAAGTTTTGTGAAGTCACTAGACAACAAACACTTGTTAGAGGTAGGAATGGAGGGATTTTATGGCGATTCAATTCCTGAAAGAAAGCAAGTTAATCCTGGTTATCAAGTTGGAACAGATTTCATCAGTAACCATCTTATTAATGAGATTGATTTTGCCACTATCCACGCTTACACTGACCAATGGTATATTTAACATCTTTTCTGCGCTAAAAAAATCAGATATTCTCGTTACACCATCAATGAATAAAATTA